CCACTTGTTCTGTGAACCCCAGAATAATTTGGTCTTGTGGTTCACAAATTTAATTCGTCCCGCCCCTCTGGTCGGGACCCGAATTGGTCGTGAACCGAATCAAATTTTCCCATAAGATTCAATGTAAACACGGTTAATCCGTTCTGACCCCTCTGAATTTGGTCGCGACCCGATTTTTTATTGCGTCCCAAATAAAATTTCCCCATAAGGTTCAATGTAATTACAGTTAATCCGTTCTGAACCATATGTTTTTTTTTTTTTTAAACCGCAAAAATATGACACAAAGTACAGTACGAAGAGAGAGAAAGCTAACCTTGCTCGACGCGACTTCTGGCGTGGAGGACAGGAAGGCGGGTGGGGAGGCGGTTACTGCTTGGAGGGAGAGTCCCCCTCCCTACAGGAAGCCGTGACCACGTGTCACAGGAGGAAAAATGGCCGCGGATCCTGTTCGTCACCCGATGCGGAGTTTGCGAACGGAGGCAAAATTTTGCAACCGGAGCTGTTCGTGAACTGAATTGTTCGTGAACAGAAGCGTTCGTGAACTGAGGTACCACTGTACTTGCTTATATTCTTGGTGCCCAGGGATCTTGTCCCACCTGATTTTTTAAAAGTTAAAATAAAAATCAGTAAAACCTGCCTGTAACATAATCTTTACTGGTAAGAATGTCTTGGTTCCACAAAGGCCACTTATGTCACCATATAAAATTAAACTTCTGTATCACTTAAAGAGGCAGTGGTCCACCCACTCCTCGCAAAGCCATCCCTAGACCTGACTGTTTTGGACAACTTTCATCTAGTTTCCAGCCTTCTCTTTTTAGGGAAGGTGGTTGAGAAGGTAGTTGCCTTGCAGTTTCAGAGGGGTCTGGATGAAGTGGATTATCTGGACTCCTTCCAGTCAGATTTCAGGCTATGGGACTGAAATGGCATTGGTTCCACTTGTGGATGATCTCTAGAAGGAACAGAATGGGGATAGTGCATCCATCCTTGGTCTCCTTGATTTCTCAGTGGTTTTTAATACCATCAAACATTATACCCTTCTGGACCGGCTCTGGGAGTTAGGAATTGGGGCACAGTGTTGTACTGGTTTTCCTCCTTCCTCCATTGTTGATTCCAGTAGGAGGAAGAGGTCTGCCCCACAGCCCCTCTTGTGTGGGGTGCCACAGGGTTCAGCTCTCTCCCCACTAATGTTTAACATCTACATGAAGCCACTGGGTAAGGTCATTTGTTAGCATAGGATAAGGTATCATTGGTATGCTGATAACACTCAGCTGTATATCTCTACCTCTGGCCAGTCAAGTGATACTGTGGAGGTTCTGCGTCAGTGCCTGGAAGCTGTGGGGCCTGGATGGGGAAGAGCACGTTTGAACCCAACCCCAGTAAGGCAGGGTTGGGTTTTAGGGCCTCCTGCATCCGGTGAGTTGTGCTGTGCACCAATATAGTGAAAAATTATAAAGAGAGTGAGAACTGGATGTGACTCTAGTACAGTTTTGAAACTCAGGTACCAGTCTTAAGGATCTACAAGACCATTTATGAGGCTGAATTAGGAAATTGAATATTTTATTAGTGAAGTCCATTATAGTGTGTGTGTTTATCTGCTATTTTATCTGTTTGCATTTTCTATTAATTTCAAAGGCTGGTAGTTGACCAACTACATTTCCATTTGATAGTATTATTTTACATATATTTTGCCTCCTAGGCTGAAATGTATGATTCTACTTTTTTCTATGAAAAAGGCAAAATTCCTAAAGTTCAAATGGGTGAGTATGAATGTGATAATAAATATAAATATTAAAGTATCAGTACCAAAAAGTAACACAAATGCTAGTTGACATTCTTAGAAGTGAGAATAAAAACATCAGACCAATTCTTGCACCTATTCTCAGTATAAAATCTTGATATAATGCTCTCAGTATAAAATTTCATCTCTTTGCTTAAAAGGAGTCTATTTACTATCTAGATTAGAATTAGAAGTTAAATGCAAATTAAATTGCATTTTTGAAATACTTTTATTTTCAAGGTTCAGAATCAGCATATACAGAGGAGTTCTTCATACTGTAAAGAGACGGTTTGAGATTATTTTGTATAATGCTTGGTTAATGATGGTTATTAAATAAGCTACAATTAGCTGGATCATAATAAGGCAAGTGAAAACCAACCACCTCAAACCGACAAACAGATAAAAATATTGTGGCTTAACATGATGTATGAACTGAATTAGTTTGTCTATCACAAGACTTGTTTTTTTAAAATCTGTAATTTTTGTTTCTCTTGATTTTGTAAGATTCAAAGAGTCTGGAATATTAAAAATGACTAGGAAAACAAATGATTTCCAATATTACAAATTTCTGAATATATCGTTAACATTGCTCAGTACTGCAAAAGTGTAGCCTGTGTTTTTCAGACACTATATTTATTGATTATAGAAGTATAATTAACATTCCTGTGTCATCTTTTATTTTGCTGCAGATAAGGATTTGCAATTTGACATTATTAAAAAAGCCATGGCTAAAGAGTGTGGAAATTATTGCCCAGGTAAGTGAAAGCTAAGTTACTTCATTGTGGGGTCCACCAACATCTGCTTGGCATAAAAACTGTGGTGCTGATTGAGATTCTGAGCACCAATTTTGGTTTTTATTTACTTGCCCTGCTTCGTATGCTGAATAATGTTCTGATATCAGGAACTCCTCTCACTGAATCTCTCTATCTCCCTTTTCTGTCCCCTGGGAACTTACTAAATACATTTGCTTTTATGGGGCTCAGTCACTCTGTTTTGCCAACATGCAGCCTATCCCTAACAGAGAAATCATTTCCATCAGCAAATCCAAAATTGGGACTATGATTTCGAGCATATTATTTAATCCTGCTGAGACAATGAGATATATTACAGAAAATAATGAGACGCTTCAATGAAGTTTAAGCATATACCGTACCATAGGGCAAGAATACTGTGTTCCCTAAAAACTGGGTATAGCCCCCAGTCCTCCACAGATTGCTGCTGAAATATAATTTTTGATATGAGAAAGGGGGAAGCTTACTAAACACATGGGAATAATTTTTTATTTGAATTTAATATTTGTCTGGTCTTACTCTCGTCTTATTTTAACTCTCTTTTTCTACAGTGTTACCTCAGCATCTCACTTAAAGACACAGTGCAGTCCTCAGCCCCCTAAATTACAAGCCTTACTGTAAGGATATAAGAGGGGTGACTTCCTTTCTTAGCAAATGCCAGTTTGTCCTGGGAGGAAATAGCCTGACTTTAATTATAGTAGTAATAGGTCAAATGAAGTCACTAGCCTCAGCTGAAACATCACAAATTGCCATCAGGCCACTTGCAACATAAAACTGGTTTAGCACCTATTAGTCTCACCCATGGAGAGAGCCCGTCTGGTGTAGCAGTTAAGGCATCAGGCTAGAAACCGGGAGACCATGAGCTGTAGTCCCACCTTAGGCCCAAAACCAGCTAGATGACTTATGAATGTATTGGCCAACAAGTCGTTGTCATGGTTAGCCAAGGTTACCATGATTTGTGATGACAAGACTTTTTCTACCGAAAAGTTAAGGAAGGAGGCTAGCAACAAACTAAAACAAATCATAGCTCAATTCTGATGTTTCTTCTGGGAGGAAAAAGGTTACATCTAATTTTGTATGCCATGTTATTTTTCTAATGAACTTTGAATTCTTGCTAGTAGAATGGAAGGTATTCCTCTAATTCAGTACGTTGGTGTTTGTGTTGGTTTTGATTGATAGATCCAACCTGTTCTCACATTTTAGGAGCTTATTCATCTCAGCCTGTGGAAGTTCCACAAAACCACAAGCGTTACATCTGTGATCTGACCCAAGCTGACCGCCTTGCAATTTATGATTACGTCCTTGCAGAGACAAAGAACCAGAGGTCAAGATCTCAACTGACAGAAAATGACAGTGACCTGTTTGTAGATTTGGCAGCAAAAGTCAACCAAGGTCTGGAAGCAAATTCTACAGCTGTACTTTGTACGATACCTAAAAATCACAAAACATGCCTCTTGCTGAGACATCCTTTTTTTCTCTGTTAAATTGGGCTGCCAATATTATCCCCCCGTTTTCTTATACATTCCTAGGTTAATGAACTTGAATTAAAATTAATGGGACATGAACTGGCCTGCTGCATCTGCAGCAGGTGATCAACCTTTACTCCACTGCTGAGACAGAGATTGCAATCACAGCAGTGACATTAATTTGCTTTACTAGTTATCTTGAAAGAACCCTCCTAGTGAAACTGTAGTCTAGGTTACAGTCCTTTGCTGATATTATCTATCATATATGGCCTTCATTTTTGTACATATATTACTAAATACATGCACTGGAATGATTGTGTCTAACATACTTTTTTTCCCTTTTAGATGATGGCCAGAAAGGTCCAAAATCTCATCTTGAAATTCTTGCAGAGATGCGGGATTATAAAAGACGGCGGCAATCATACAGAGCTAAGAATGTTCACATAACAAAGAAATCCTACACAGAGGTGAGGTCTATATAATTTAGGAGCCATTTTGTCTCAAAATATTTCCTTATGAATTTAAAAACATCTATGTATGAAATACCTTAAACAGTTTTCCAAAAATACTGTGAGTTGAAGATACCAGTGTGTATGTGCTATTGCTGTAGTAATACATTGGAGGTTGCAATAAGGTGAATTTGCCTAATCTTAAAAAGTTTATGACCCTTTAATACTTGGTGTCAATTATTGTAGCACTCTTAGGTTTACTATAGTTCATAGTTTTACTATTGCCAGTCCAGTAGGGATGGGTAATTATAGCCAGCACATGACAAAAAATGCGAATAATATTTGGATGGATAAATGTAGTACAGGCCTAGTGACCATCTCTCTAATGGTTGTTTTATAAGCCAGCTCTAATATTTAGCTCTTCATTGATGGATGTTTACTTTTACTTTTGTTCCAATTTCTCTATAATTGCTTAAGATAATTTTTAATACAACATTAACAATATTAACAAGCTACATTATCTTTCTATATGCTTTTTTATCTTTATATTTTATATTGGGCCAATTATTTTACAAAGTTTTATAGCAACTGGAACACATTAGTAACCAAACAAAAAAAGGAGTGTGTAGAGAAATGTGTAGAGAAAAAAGGATGCTGGGTAGAGGCACAGTTGAAGGAATGAATATAAACAAATTACACATAAATCATCATATCAGTGTAGTTATGTGTAAGGAGGTTTTCCATCTGATTATTTAGTATGTTCTGTCGTAACTTTAATATTTTATCTAATATCAGCATTTCTGATCTTTACTCAGGTAATCAGAGATGTGATTGGGGTACACATGGAAGAACTTGCCACTCATTGGCAGGAAGAGAACCGAAATACTGAAGTTCATGAAGATGAAAAATCCTCTTTTTCAGCAAAGTCTTCAGGAAGGTATGAATTATTGTTGCCAAATCCTTACTGCTTTCTGAATTGGCAGTAACTTAAGAAATTGCATTTATTTGTTCCTCTGTTAATTCAAATGGAACTATAATAAATTATTTTCAGATTATGTCTGCATATCATGGGTATCATGCTATACCCAGTGTTCAATACAGTTTTCTTCCGCTCTGCCCAATACCTATCTTTTGTGATGTTACTGATTTTATTTTTAAAAAGTTGTAGAAACTCTATTCTTTCTTGCTTTGTTGCTTAGAATTGGAATGTTGGCCAGTTACTGACAACAGATCATCTGTCCTTTGATAGTTGTGAAATATTCAGTGAAGTCAAGAATGCATGTGTGACAAGCTGGGTTTTGTTTAAATATTGTGTCATGACAAGTGGCAGAAGCAAGTTGTCTTTGCAAAGCACAATAGCATTCAGAGAGCAGGGTCAAATATCACTAAAAATAATGGCATTCTCCTTGCAATATTTTGCAGAAAGATTTTTCATAATTTGAACTGAATTAGAAACACAACTTTATTCACTGACCACCTTCTTAAGCACTGGCATCATTAAATGGCAATACAACATTCAAATGACAGTGTGGAGCAAACAATACAGTAGTAGACATTTCCCTCTACTCCCCGTTAGTTCTGGTGCAGCTGAGATCTGATAGCAGTGGGGATGCAGTAATTTCAGCTGGGATCGTGGGCTATGTGTTAAAGCCCAGTCCTCTCCTCCACTATTTCTGTGCAGCTAATTGTTTTGCCATCAGTGGCATTCTTCGCTGAGAGCAAAATAAGCACCCACTCCCATCCCCAACATTGACAATCGAGATCACTGCCATGGCATAATTACTGTCTTTTCTTTAGTAAGGAAGAGCGAAGGTCTGCGTCAGCTGATTCCAGACAATCTTGTGGAAGTTCAAAGGATATTGATTATTCTCGACATAGAAGGAATTCCAGCAGAAGTCCAGGCAGACGAAAAAGAAGTCGAGAAAGAGAAAGAGAGAGAGATTCCCGAAGGAAAAGAGAGAGGCAAGTAACCTCTTTGGTTTCTGACTTTTGTTGAACTAATGCAATATTATATCACAGGCTGGGATTGCAGAACATACTTAACTTGGTTACATTCAGTGTTAATCCAAAGGAGAGAATTTCACACATTTTTCATTCAGTTACTGGCTTTAAGTCTTCCTATACTTGTCCAAGATATTACTAATTTGATACCAGAATCAATTCCAAATTCAACCATATATTTTTTTTAAAAAACAGATTTCATAATAACCAGCTAAAACAAATAATATGGAAATCTGCAGGTCATAATTTCTCCTATTTCAGGGAAAGTACTAAAAAAATCCTTTAATAAAGCAATTAAAAGTAACTTCAAAATTGGCCATCAGTTACTTAGGCTGACCAAGTTAAAATAAACTACTCATTGTAGACTTCCATGAATTTATTCCTGTCTTCTTACTTCAACTGGCATATAACAGGCTATGATTTTTTTAAAAAATGCTGTTGGGAATATATGGATTATGAAATGGCATAAATCAAAGGATAAAGGCTTTGCACATAAAATGGCATTGGATTCTGTTTTGACTACTAAATATATAGAAAGGGATGAAATATTTCTCCAACTAATTGTGATTTTAAGGCAGGATTTCATTCAGGATTTATAAGCAAAATAACTTCTCTTCATAAAATCAGGGTGACTAAATGTAGCTTTTAATTGGAAATTGTGTTATTCAGTGTAGGATTAAGCCTTAAATGGTAGAAAGTTTTTAAAAATGAGTTCTTTACTAGTCCCCCAAACCTCTTTTGTGGCCTGGATAATTTCATCTACTTAGATACATTGCTATACCTGTAAAAAAAATAAAATAAATAAATAAATAATAATAATAATAATAATAATAATAGTTATGAAGTATACACTGTATAAGCAACAGGGTTATGTGAATGTCAGGACTGGCTATGTTTTGATACTGTGACACTTCTGAGGTAAATTTCTGATAACTGAACCAAGTAGCTTTCTTAATAACGTTGATTCATATTCGCAGTATAAGATATTACTTATATGTTATCTTATTAAAAATAACCATCATTTAGTCTACTGGCAGAAGTGTTATATAGGTTGTGTTCACACAACCAAACTAAGCCAAAATGTGGTCTGCTTATTTGTGGCTTAGCTCAGTCACATTGTAAACCATGCTTTATGGGTTAGCATTCTGTGAATCTGGACAGTTTATTTAGTAAACAGTGTTTAAGTAAATTTTAGTTTGTGCTTTAAGAACAGTCACTGTGAGTGTTAACTGCAAGAGAGTGAATAGAATATTTTTCTCTCCTGTGTCTCCTTATTGCACATTGGAGAAAAATAACAGATTCTCCTCTGTTGGAGCAAAGAACAGTTTCAGGAGAAGGGAGACACTGAAAACAGGAGAGAAAAAATATTGGTAAATTAACCATCCTTTATATAGCACAGTACTGTGACCTCTCTCTGAAACTGACTCACTTTGTTCAGTGCAGTTTGATTTAAGATTGAGGGGAAAAGAGTTACTCCACGATTCTGTATTCTAAGTAGCTGATGAAAAAGGTAACAAAAGATAAGTATCAGCAAAAACAGCAGTATATATTTCAATTTCATTTCAGTATGCATGAGCATTAAAAGGTTAAACCCTAGTTTCATGAAAAGATGAGATTTTTCTAAAAATACTGTCTTTCATTTTGTTTCAGAGATGAAGGAAAGCATCATAAAAGAAGAAAATAATACTTGTATCTCCATTACAAGATACGTGGAGCCAAAACTGAGTTGTATCTATTTCATTCCAGTAGCATAATCACGGTGTGTAATATCACACTGACAGCTAAGATGTACTGTCTTAGCCACTTTAATAAACATCATTTGAAATCTCTGTCACACTCATAAACTGGATAGTTTGTGTAATTATTCATAAGGCTAGCTACTCCCCCTTAGGTCAATTAAGTTGTTGGTTCTGATATTAAACTATTATGTTAGTATGTTTTTAGTAACATTCATCCAGAATCTCTCTTTCTGTAGCTTGGTTATTATTCAGTATATACACTGCAGTTAGGGACAGCATAGAAGACGCCTTGACTGCCTTCTGCAGAATAGCATTTCAATTACTTGTACAGTATTATCACATCCAGCTTAGCCTCTTCCTACCAAGGCTAAACATACTGATTTTATTTATTTGATAGATTTATAGCCTGCCATTCCTAGGAGCACATGGTAGCTTACATCCCTTCATTTTATCCCTATATTTACCCTGGGAGACAGGTTGTGCTGACAGACCAGAATTACCCAGGTAGTTTCCATAGCTGAGGGTGCACTTGAACCTGGGCCTTTCCAATCTTAATATAACTTCTTCATCACTGCACCACATTGGTTTTTCTGATACAGCTACCTGATTATCCTTGTTGCTCTTATTGGACTCATTCCAATTTAAAGATTCAGACAAAATGTGCCCAGAATACAGTGTTTAAAGAATTAGTTACTATTTAAATGATCATGAAATAATAAAGCAAATTTTTCCTCTTATTTCAGTGTAACCATTCCCAAATACAAGTTTTAATAAACTGAATTATTTTGATAGTGCCAATAAACAGAAAATGTTCAGTGTTCTCATGGTATTGCAGATAAAGATTTGACACATGTATATCCAGAAATTAGGAAATAAAGACAATGGACATCTGTAGGCTGTTTACGCACTTGTTGCCCAGAAATAGTGTATATGGTTCTCAAGTGTGAAAGGAGCAATCTAGAAGATACTTGTTAAGATCAGAGTCTGGAGGGAGCTCTGGTAGAACCTGCTAGCTTGACACTATTTATTTAACGTATGGCACATTCACATAGCAATTCAATAGAATAAAAACACGAGATAAAATACAAAATATGAAGTATAAAATATAAAATATAAAATTATAAACATGTCTAGATTACAAATATAATTTCTTACTCCATTTGTCACAGCCAGGAAATCAATGAAATCTCCATTATAGGCTCTGTGTCAAGTCCACGATGTCCAACTCTCAGTTCTGAAGCATTCTCATGGAACCAGACTTGGTTCAGAAAAATACTTCTTTATTAAGGAGTACATGTAGCTTGTAAACAGAACATTGCTAAAACTAACGC